AATATCTTTATCTAGAGATGAAACATGGTTGTGAACTTGTAATTATTGGTCTTGAAGCAATGCAAGGTTGCTCTTATCTCAAAAACCAAGCTTCCGGAAACCATACAACCCCACCGAATAGTAAACACACATATAGTCTACAAAAACAATACAAAATAGCATCCTGCGTTTTTCGAATTACCGTTTGCAAAATACGTCAAATTTAGACCGGTGCTGCCTTGTAAAACTAAATTTCCCCCAGTATTGCACGTGCTAAATGTTCTCCAGGAATCCTAAAATCACAAAAATCCTAAATAAAGCGTTGGGAATACCCTCAATCAACAAATGAATAATTCAAGCTTTACTGAAGCGCTCAAAATGATAATTGTAACAGCATAAACATTAACCGAGTTTAAATGCTTGATGGTATAGTTTACTCATATTTGTGCAGGATTTTCTCATCTAAATAAATCTCAAATAAGACGTTGATAACGAGTTCAGTCATTCACTGTACGTCTCATTACAGCATTAAAATTATCGAGCTTAAATGCTTGATGGTACGGTTTACTAGTATTTATGCAGGGTTTTTAATCTATATGAATTTCAAATAAGACGTTGATCCAGTCATCAATTATACATATCATAACGGCATGAACGTTAACAGAGCTTAATTGCCTAAAGGTATAGGTTAATCATATTTGTGTAGGATTATTTTTATCTATACAAATTTTAAATAACATGTTCATGACGAGTTGTATCATAAATTAATTATTCGTATCATAAGCTTAAAACTTTGACGCTCGGCGTCTTTTAATGTGGGTCTACCGCAAATGGCGTGTGCGTTTGTAAGTACTTTGAACGTTCCAGAAGGAAAGCAATTCTTCGTGATTTACAATCAAGCTTCGCACCACGAGATGCTGAGAGTAAAGAGACCTATGAAGAACAAACCAAGTCATATGTTTTCTCGTCAGTCGCCTCGTTTTCACAGTTGCCTCGCTTTCATGCTTGTAGAGGAATATCGCAGGCCGTCAAGCAATGCAGGCTTACACACTTTCGACATTGACGATAGATAGTTAGATAGGAAACCGAAACCTAGAATCGGCCTACCTGTGTAACCAGAGTAATGATCTTTGTTTACAGGGTTTTCACCCTCTTGCATCTGCTAGCAAACTACCAAGTTTTCTGCCTCGGAATAATACCTCAAAACGCATTTTATGCGACTGTAAGCTTTTTTGACTAATTGAAAGTAACGATATGCGGTAATGAATTCCACAAGTTTGCTTTTGTCGGAGAAGCACAGGATTATTTTCGTCCGCTTCTGATTGATACAGCTGCAAATGTTCACATCACGGCTCTTGTTTAGCAACAGATCATGAACAATCGAAGCAATTCACAGTTTTGTTTGCGCCTGAGCTGGATAAATTTTGCTCGCTTTGAAGGTGATATTTAAAGCAAAGATGCTTAGTACAAACTGTAACAAAGCCTCGCTATCGTTTTAGGCGCGGTTACTACTCCAATAGTACATCTTGGTGAGTGAGTGACTAATGGGCATATCGAAGTCCCAATAAAAGCGCGTCTGCAGAATCAGTAAAACAACCGTGGTATTGAGGATAGAATGCGCGTCTGTAGTAAGTAACTGAGGCAAGATAAGTTTATTTTGTATTCTGGAAAGAACAATTGTCCGACAGTAAACCGGGGCGGAAGTTAATATCAGAATCAGGCGAGGGTCTTTTTCAACTATCGGTCGAAGCTAAAACTCTAGTCCGCGCAAACTAAACTCACGTTTCAAAACGTTTCGTTTTCCGGGTGCCAGTAGTTGTTGATATCTGTTCGAGGGTCTCCGCAAAGTAAGTAAACCAGCTTTTCAGAGTCAGTCGTTAAAAGTGCGGTATGTCGTTGATTACGCATCAAGCGATGACAATTTTACAAGCATGATCGCTGACGTCACTATTTGTAAGGACCAGTCTGTCTTCAGTTAATCTGTTGTTAAGGTTCTTAGTCTCTCCAAAGTTGAAGGCTCAGCGGTCCAAGAACTTACTGCCTCGACCAGCCTTGGAACTAAATAGACTTATTACGTCAATTAGTCTGAATCAGTCTTTGCTTGAGAATACGATGAGCGCGAGGATTAATTTGTTCCTTTCGTGTTCAAGTCAAAAACTCTTCATCTCAACGTGTTCGACTTAGGACCTTTAAAGAGTGTGAATGTTTTCCACTGTCTGCCCATCGACGAAGCTGAAAAAGGATTTAACTTCCCATAACTTAAGAGGATCATCCTATAAAATAGCTTCACGATTTTGTTCATGTAGATTTACGACGTGATGAAAGCCTACTCGACTGTTGAGAGGTGGAATGAAAGAAGACGTGTACGAACAACTCGCTGCTAGGTACGTGAAAAGATTTTTAAGTAAGCTTTTCATAATGAAATCCCAGAAAATTCTTTATCTTAACCGGCAAACAATTAGTGAGAAAGAGACAAATGACTGAAAATGTCATCACCACAAAGTCTAAACTTATTGAAAAGGAAATAAGACAAAGCTAATTGAGTGTTATTTCTATGTCAGATCTTGGTAGCTAGAAAGTTAAACACATATTTGCATAAATTGGCTCAGACAACCGTTCAAAATCAGTAAGTAAAAATCAAAACACCAACGGTAGAATAAATTAAAAATAAAAAAGAAAGACGCACGTACACGCAAAACACTTATTAGAACTCTTGAGAAGCTTCGTGTTTTAAATTATTTGTGTAAGCAACTTCGAATTCTTCTCCAAAATCAACCGAGTCACGAGGCTTCACTGAGAAGTTTGGAAAACTTCGAAAATTAGGGTTTATTGCGATCAGAAAGTTTAGCACATATTGAATAAAACAAAACTTTCGTAACCAAGCTCAAAAGCTGACATCGTCAATCAAAGAATATCTTTATCTAGAGATGAAACATGGTTGTGAACTTGTAATTATTGGTCTTGCAGCAATGCAAGGTTGCTCTTATCTCAAAAACCAAGCTTCCGGAAACCGTACAACCCCACCGAATAGTAAACACACATATAGTCTACAAAAACAGTAGAAAATAGTATCCTGCGTTTTTCGAATTACCGTTTGCAAAATACATCAAATTTAGACCGGCGCTGCAATACAAATCTTTCTTCACCTGCACACGCCAAATTCCACTATTCTCCATTCGGGCTATGTCACGTTTCGCCGCATAGTTGCTCAGTAAATATCTGCATTGTAACGAAACTAGACGCCTACAGGTGTTTATTCGACTGCCTATGTGTGACACAGAAAGAGCATCTTTGCATAAAGATCTTGGAATTGCAAACAGTCGCCTAAACACGTAAAAAGAAGTCTAGGAGGCTCCATTTGGCGAGAGCTTTGAGCGTCGTGCATATCTCTCAAGATTCAAGCTTGAAGAAAGCGAATGTGGCCTTTGTTATGAGTTGAGAAATTGAATGTTTGAAACATAATTATTATCTATCTGCAAAACTACATACCAAAATTGGCAAATTCACCTTAACATGTATATCCTTGCTTTTTTTTCATATTTGTTGCCTGACGTGTCATACCTTTTACTCTCTTCCAATAAACATTAGGATTTACTGGTACGCTAATTTAAAGGAAATGAAAATTAAGGGTTTATTAGGTGAATTTTGCAAATATTGTCAAATATCCTGTGTATCATGTTCGTTTCAAGGTCTCCCATGTCCTTGTAAACTAAATTTCCCCCAGTATTGCACGTGCTAAATGTTCTCCAGGAATTCTAAAATCCCAAAAATCCTAAATAAAGCGTTGGGAATACCCTCAATCAACAAATGAATAGTTTAAGCTTTACTGAAGCGCTCAAAATGATAATTGTAACAGCATAAACATGAACCGAGTTTAAATGCTTGATGGTATAGTTTACTCATATTTGTGCAGGATTTTCTCATCTAAATCAATCTCAAATAAGACGTTGATAACGAGTTCAGTCATTCACTGTACGTCTCATTACAGCATTAAAATTATCAAGCTTAAATGCTTGATGGTACGGTTTACTCGTATTTATGCAGGGTTTTTTTTTTATCTATATGAATTTCAAATAAGCTAATTGAGTGTTATTTCTATGTCAGATCTTGGTAGCTAGAAAGTTAAACACATATTTGCATAAATTCACTCAGACAACCGTTCAAAATCAGTAAGTAAAAATCAAAACAAAACAAAAACGCTTATGTACGTAACAAGGGCAAAATGACACGAAGACACAAAAAAGGTACGTATTTCGCTCCCTTTTAGGATAAGTTGACTACCATTAAAAAGAGGAAAATTAAAACACGTAGAACGTTGACCAAACTGGGTATCAAAGTGTCAGTTAAACTGATGAACAATTTTTGTTGTCTTTCCTGCGATTTTGCCAAAAATATTGTGAAATTAACGTCTACAACTTATACGTAAAGAAAGCAACAAAGAAAAACTCCAGTTGGTTTCTTTAAGTTCGCCTGCACTTGATCAGTAACATGCATTTTCCATCTTGTCTTTAAACCTAAATCGCTTCAGGGGACTCTAACGCTGTTCATATGAGAAATTTATGTCGTAACAAGATATGAGTACAGGATATTCTCCTGCCAAAATGCTATGCGGCTCAAGAAAGAAATCCAGAATGTGTGATATAAACCTCGTCGACTTCCTCTACGCCGTTCCGTCTTCCATGATCGAAACCATTGCTTCCATTGCTCAACAGTTCGCGGAGGCTAAAACGAACCGTTTTCTGTTCATCAGTCTCAGACGGTGCTTCTGCTGTGTGTGTTTCCTTATGTTTAGTTAACGATATCTTACAAGAAAATCCTTCGCCACAAAGATCACATTCAAATGGTATTTTCTCGGTGTGCCTTGCTAAATGCTCGTTTAAGTGACCTTTCTGATTAAAGCGCTTGCCACAGTGGGTGCATTTAAAGGGCCTCTTCCCGGTGTGTGTTCTTCTGTGTTGTTCCAGACCTCCGACCTGTGAAATAAGTGGTCACCCAAAGGGAATGGAAAAATTACCACTTAATGCAGGTTCCACAGAAGAGAGATAATATAAAAAACAAAAAATACCAATAAAAAACACCATTTTTATGCCATGATTGACCACTTAATGTACAAACCTCAGCTCAAAAATACTAGTTGAGTAACATTGATTTCAGAAGACAAAGATGGATTAAATATGATTTCAGGAGAGAAACATGAATTAAAATTTACTTGAGAGGTTATTTCAATTTTTTTTCCAAGTGGTTCTGCTTTAAATGAATGTTTAATACCAGTGGAAGACAATACAAAGAAGCCATTGGGACTTAGTGGTGATCACGACAACTTAGTAGAGATGACCACTTAATAGAGGTGAAAATTACAATAAGTAAGGTTAAACAAGTTTGAGACTTAGATGACCACCTCTTATTTTATTTACCCATTACATTGAAGAACAAGATTGATTTTCACCATTATAATTCTAAATAGGATCTGGTTTTAAAATGAGGGGGTGGTTTTCTAAGGAAACTGTGACGGTACATCGGTGGGGGTATAACTCAATAACCTTTAGCGCTTCGCTCTGGAACGTCAGCTTTAGAAATTCTTTGCGATAGCAAATCTATATTATTACTCCTTTAGCTTTCAAGGTCTTCATCAATGTTTTTTTTCCGTTTCAGTTTTCATTACATAATAATCGGACATCAGCAGCTCAAACATTGTTAACAGATCTTGTATGGACAAGTGTCGCCTTGAATCCGCAATAATTTTA